ACAACCTTGCTTAAGAAGGTCAACAGCTTTGGAGAAGCTACTCCAGGTGAAGGAACTTCCCTGATTTTTCCGTAGAACATCAAGTCCTGTCCTTTGACCTCCGTAGTTCGAGAGAAGTAGTTGCGCCATAGGTTATCCTTCTCATGAAGAAGGCGCAAGCCGCTCTTGCCAACATAGCCAGGTTAGCCTGGCGGGTTGGACGAAGACCCACCCCACCTTGATCCTTTGCCAGTGTCAGCCTCTCCCAAGCAACCAGGTGCAATTTGGAACGATTCTCCTCAGCTCCCCAGACAAATCCCTAGTAATCTTGTCGATGTTCCTGCACACACCACTAGGAATCAATTCAGTGTGCATCGTATAGACAAGCAAAGAAGCGGTCATCGACTTAGCGACGATGAGTCTAGCTGCAAAGGATAAGCGTTTCGCTTTCCAAACTTGGTCAAACCAAATGAATGTCCAACAGAATAAGCACTTAAACAAGTAAAGTACTGTTGTATTCACTATTCAGGACATAAATAAAGGTATTTTTAAGAAATGTCAAGAAAAGATAATGTTGAATATGAAAAATTCTAACTCTCTTAACTCCTTAGAGTAATACCTATAACAAAATCAAATAATGCTAACTCTAAAAATACCAACATAGCTTTACTTGCTACTCTATCAGCAATCCAAATAAATTACTTTGAACCAATTGAAGCTATTAATTTTCAAATTCGTGCTCGAATATTAAGACAAAATAAAGGAGAAGATATGGCTATGTAATTGTAAATATTTCTCCTAATTGGGATCATTCCTTTTTAATAATATTATCTCATCAATCCTTTACAGGAAACCCGATAAAAGAGAGAAAGATATCAAGAGACAAATCAAAAACAAATAACATAAAGCAAAGGGTATAATATGATATCAAGTCTCCATTGCACATTTTGGACCAATTGGACTGACCACCAACCCCCGGGGATGCCCTTATCCATTTCATCAAAGTGACTTGCCCATAGTGAGTGATTTGAGTATTACATGGCAACATTACAACAAAAGAGGGGTTAGGTGGGAATCGATATGTATCAAGCTTCATATTTTCTTCTATCCTAATTCTTTTGTTGCCTTTTCTTTTTTCAAGTGTTATCTAAGTGAAAAGAAGTATTTTTTTTATTAATTGGAAAATGACATATGTGGAATTGGATTGGGTGGTGGTGGAGAGGATAGTCGGCTGGTGAGTGGATGAGGTGCTAAAATTCGTTAGTATCACTAAGAATCCATTGATTAGACTAAAATGCATGTAGTTGGCACCTAATAAATGGGTAAAATTATAAATAAACGGAGTGGGTGTACATTGGGGTTTTAGAGACATTTTTGAAATTTGGAAAAAATTATTAATTCGAGTTGATGATAGGTTTATTAATTGGAACATATGAACATCCTGTTGTTAAAGAATAAGATATCTATTACATTATAGACGATATTTTTTTATTTAAATTATTTAATTTTTTTATAAACCGAGACATATTAAAGTTCAATTACACCCTGATTTCTCCAATTTATCCAAATTATAAAAAAAATGAACCATCATCCTTCTCTCATTCACGAACCAAGATACAAAACATTGAGATAATCGATTTCCCTCATGTGTGAGTGTGACTATAACTACGAGATATATTGTGAAACCTTTTTGAACTTCAATTGAAGTGTACATAATGTTTTAGTTAATAGAGACTCATCGTTAAGTAAACATTGGATTGCACCAAAAACTGACCCAAATCACACTGAAATAATCTGACAAGAATTTGTGGATTAGATCATTAGACCTTCGTCATTAGATTCCCCAAACATATTCATTTGATTACTAAACCTTCTTTGTCTGTAGTAATGGCATTCGCGAATATTGCTTCCTTGGAAAATTGTACGCATAATGGGTTATCCCATCCCATCTTATATGACATATGTCTTGGCCTCTTGGGTCGACATTATACGACGTTTGTGCATTTGTTATTGGCGCAAAACAACAGAGTGGTGACATGGATATAACTTGATTAAGATTGGTCTCATCAGTATGCATGGAAAATAATATAGTTTATTCTGCTCCCCACCAAACCTTATCCAATGAAGAGCTTCCTTGTTGTACATGGGGTTTCAATATTTGGTCGACACCCAACTCATAGTTTGGAAGATTCAAGAAAAGGGGGGAAATCAGCTTTCACTGTGTAGGTAAGGTTATTTCCTTATCAATCAATCTCTTCTTTTATTTTATTATTATCATGCAATGCTTTGAAAATTAACATTTGTATTATCTTCTTCTTTTTTCATTATGAATTGAAACAATGTTATGTCTAATTTGACTTGAAACGAATGCATGTGATTCTAACAAAACAAAAAAAATTGTTTAAAAAAAAAGCATATAGAAAGATCAAGAAGGTAACAGTAACACATGGAGGGTCTTGGTGGATGGCTTGGATATACCTATATAGAATCAAAGATGACTCTTTCTGGGCACTAACATAAGGGAGTACTTGTTCATGGATCTGGAAAAGGATATTGAAGGTCAGGGACAAAGTGAAAGGCTATTTCAATTGTTGGGGGACACAAGTGTTCTGGAACAATAAGACAATGAATCAGTACTCTGTTCAGACTGTCTGGAGAATGAAATATCGGATGGTACGGATAAAATCTGGACTCGAAAATCATGGACAATAGATGTGTACAGGGTTTTCATTATCCAATTTTAACTCGTCTGATTATCCGTACTTACGAAATATTTTGTATAAATTATCATTTTTAATTAACATATTCGCTATTGCTAGTATATTTGTAGCATCTTATGAACTAATAATGTTCCTTTTTTATTCTTTCTCTTAGTATTGGTGATTTGATATTTATAATTTCACACTTCTATAATGTTCTTATAATTGTTATTAGTTAAACTAATAACAAAGCAACTTTCGAGGATATCTTCGTTCGGTCCCTGGTTTGTGAGCCAGATTCCCTCTTCTTTTTTTCTTGGCACGAATATTATTCATGGATATCTGAAACCTAATCGCGTATGGGCATAACTGTAGTTTTTGCCCGAATCTTTTACGTGTATGAGTATAGATAAAACTAGGACTAGTTAGAGTAGAGTAATGGATAGTCAATATCATTTCTGTTGGGATTGCAACGGGTAGGATCGGTACGGATATTGACTATCCATTACTCTACTCTAACTAGTCCTAGTTTTATCTATACTCATACACGTAAAAGATTCGGGCAAAAACTACAGTTATGCCCATACGCGATTAGGTTTCAGATATCCATGAATAATATTCGTGCCAAGAAAAAAAGAAGAGGGAATCTGGCTCACAAACCAGGGACCGAACGAAGATATCCTCGAAAGCTGCTTTGTTATTAGTTTAACTAATAACAATTATAAGAACATTATAGAATTGTGAAATTATAAATATCAAATCACCAATACTAAGAGAAAGAATAAAAAAGGAACATTATTAGTTCATAAGATTCTCGTGTCTGTCCTATGTTTGTGCTGCCTAGCCGACAAATTGTTAGAGAAGATTGCATCAAGGTGTTTTTTGAAAACAGAGATGTGTTAAAGGATTATTTCAAAGCTAAATGTTTGGGGATGGTATCTCTCACAACTGATTGTTGGACTTGTTTGTCCAATCTCAACTACATGTGTGTTACTGCACATTTCATCAGTAGAGATTGGAAGCTATGTAAGAAAATTATATCAACTTTGTTCAGATAACAGAACATTCTGGAAGTGATATAGGACAACAATTGACTAGTTGTTTGATTGAGTGGGGCATTAAGAAGGTATTTTGTATTACAATGGACAATGTCAGTGCTAATGATGTTGTTGCCGTTCATATGAGGAAACAATTGAAGGAATAGGAATCAAATGTTTTGGATGGGAAGTATTTACAAATGAGATGTGTTGCTCATATTGTGAATTTGGGTGTGAAAGATGGACTCAAACAGGCCGGTATATCTGTGGAATGAGTGAGAGAAGCTGTAAGATGGGTAAAAGCTACACCTGCTAGGAGTGAAAAATTCAAAGATTGCATTACATTTGAAAAGATAGAATCGAAGAAACTTGTGCCGTTAGATGTACCCACAAGATGGAACTCAACCTATATAATGCTGGAATCTGCCCTACCATTCGAGAAGGCGTTTCAAAGATTGGCTAGAAATGAAAGCAAATTTAAAAAACTTCTCAATCAAAAGAAATATGAGAATGGATTGCTTGGTGTCCCAACTTTTGAGGATTGGTCTAGTGTTGGAAGATTGATTGAGTACTTGAAGTTCTTCTACAACATGACTGTTCGTATGTCTGGTACCTCATATGTGACTTTACACCTCCTTTTTTATGAGATTTGCAATATGCATGTTGTGATCTTTGAGCTGGAAGATAACATGGATTATGAGGTGTTGAATTTAATTTATTTATTATCGTTTTATTTATATATATGTATGTATGAACTTTCATGGGCTCTGAGAATACATATTTCTTTTAGTTTGCATCATTAACTTTGTTAACATAACATAACTATGCCATCCGTGTTGTCTTTGGCTGTAGGGTCAACAAAATTTAACTTGCATAATACATAAATAATAATGAATTTAGACAATTATTTACAACAAAAAAATATTTTGTTTTTGTTTTTTTACACGCATGCCAACCAATAATTTGTTATGGCTATTACCATTATTATGACGTTTATTCAATAAAAAGGAAGGAATTAGGAATAAAAATGAGTGAATGAGTACATGTTGGTTTTTTGGTTTTTGGGGATTTGGTTTTTGGTTTTCTATACTTAATGGTTTGGTTAACCAAACCAAACCAAATTGACAGCCCTATAGATTCTCGATAATAAACCTTTTAAATATAGTTATCCGATCTCGTGATACATTGAAATTGAAAGTATATCTTAGAAGAAAATTGCAGTTAAAGCCATTTCGTACTCAAAAGTTATACACATAATTGATTAAAATTTGATGAAATTTGAATTCCAACTGTTCACTTCTTATTACATCCATTCAAAGCTAGCGAGATAACTACCCTAATCATGTCTACCCGCTGAAAATACTTCATAATCCATCACCTTTTGGCGGCAAAAATCCAACTTCCCATAGAACAGACCAAGAACCAATCTCTGATTTATGAAAAACTCATTCCACCTCTGAAACTGAGTTCCATTCCACTACATTTAAACCCAAGAAAATAAGACAAAAAATCCCAAACTTTAAAATAGTCCTAGAAAAGCAAAACACCCCACATACATAACGACCTCTATAACGAAAACAAAATCTAGATATCGCTCATTCCTCCCAAATCTTAGAACCCTAAACCTAGATTGGCTTGGTTTTCAATTGGTTTCCCTTTTTCAATGCCCCATAACGCGAACCTCCGTATCATAACCAGCGTCGCCCATGAAAGCGTTGGTGGTTGCTTTGGGTGACGGCGGCTGAACCACCATTTTGTTAACGATCTTGTACGTGTCGTCGAAATCGTCGTCCAGATCCACCAGCCCGTTCTCATTGGCTTTGCATTGCTCCCCGGACTCTCCTCCATGTGGGCAGTCAGTTGATTCAGTGACTCTAATCAAAGAAGAGCAGAGCAAAATCGAGAGAATCAAGCAAGCCATATGAATCCCCGTCTTCCCTCTTGAAACCGGCATTTTTTATGACTGACTGTTCGATTACGATCTGGGTTCTTTGAAGTTCGATGGATTTAATAAAGGGAAGGTATAAAGTTTTGTTCTTTTTGGTTTGGTGAGTATTACAGAGGCAGAGTACTCTGTTTTTCTCTGCTTCTTTTCACTGAAGTATCGACTGTCAGTTTTGTAGAAGTTGAGATTTAAATGGGTCTGGAGCTATTGGGGGATTTTCTATTTCTGGTGGTTGTAAATTTTTTTTTTGTGAGGGTTTGAGCTAGTCTATAGGAATAGGAAACACATGACAATTGCCCTATGAATGAGGAGAGGAGCTTGACTCAGTTGAGTTAGTTCGAAAAACAGAGGAGTGGATTTAGGCAATTGAGGTTGTGGGGATTTCTTGGAGCGCTAAGTTTTCCTGGATTTTCTCAATTGGTCTGCCCGAATTGATAGTTCTAGCATTGTGGGATTGAACTTTCCCCAGTCGGCACTTAGATTCGGGTCTTTCTCGCATGGCTCTAAGTTCAAATCTGAGAGATGCAGTGCTAGATATCAATCTGGTTAGTCTGACTTTTCCGGTACAGGATATCTACACTGGTGATCTAAAGATGAAACGATTCTACATCAACCTAGTAGCTGGAATATCTAACCCAACAACATTAAGAAATGGATGATATTCCAGTGAATTTAGGGACCAACGCAACAAATGTTAAGCGACCCATCAGTATTAAGTATTAACCTACACTAGGAACTAGGAAGCCCTAAGGTCGAGGGAATGGGTACTAATCCCTCTGTAATATAGAGCATTTAAAATTTCTTACACTCTCTTTAATTGTAGCTAGGGGTAAATTTGTAAATATCTTCTTACAAGAAAAAAAAATGCCATTAACAAGACTTGAACTCAAGTCCTTTAAATTTGATAGTTAATATCCCCAACCAACTAGACTACAACAATGTTTATGTATTTTTTGAATTAAAGAGAGAAAATACTGAAATATCTCCAAATCATAGGACTATTTACCGCAACAATCAATCATCAAATTAATTATTAACGGTAATTATTTACAAAGTGAATCATCATGATATACCTAGCTTTATGAATCAACTAAGTGAGTTCCTCTAATCACACAATTCTTCACCAAGAATCAAATAGTACATTTTGAGTTTATGTATGTCTTACAACCTTTACATTTATTAGGTTACATGACTTTGTAGTTTGTAGGAATACAAGGATTGTTTACAAAAGTGTTATACAAAATTTTATTTCAAAACATAAAATTTGACATTTGTGATCTATGGTTTTGTAACGAGACATTTTCAATGCTATAAGTCAATGACCAAAAATCATTGGCTAACAATTTCCCTAATGGTTGAGAATTATGAGCATAGAATTGAAAGACTAAATACCATTGACAAATGAGCCACTAGACCATAGATTAATCACGTAACTAAATTCTATATCATAATTCTCTAAATCCTAATATAGTGCATATGGTATGTTGTATACATCTTGGCGAATCAGAATCATTGCTTATGTTCTTAGTATATGTGATATTAGGGTTTAAGTTCTATAGATTTAGGGTATATGATTTAATTATTGGAAACTTAATCTCCCTTTTCAAATTTCCTGCAATGAGAGGGAAATTAGGAAGGACATTTTTGTCTTCACAATTATCTGTATATTTTTATTTATTTACAGAAAAAAGATAGACATATTAAGATTTGAACCATGGTCACTTCAAACAAAGTAAAGGTTTAAAATCAATCAGACTATGTAGATTTGTTGTATTTTTTTAAATTAAAAATATATACGAAGCTAAAATATGAAATCACAAAACTTTTCAACAGTTAGCTAGCCCAATAAATATTTCGTAAGTGTTTATTAGGTGTTTTGATACTTCAATTTTGATATTTTTATTTTAATTATAGTTTAATACTTAATTTAAAATTTATCTATATTATAGATAGACGATAACCATAAATTTGCAACCAAAATATTGTTGGTTCGAATATTTCATATCGAATTATAGTATTGAATATGTAGAAGCGATATAAAATTCTTAAATTATCATTAATTTTTAGAACTATAGTGAAATAATCATATCTTTGTGCAAACTATAGGGGACTGGTTCTCTGAATATTTTTTTCCGGATAAATACTAAGTTTGAAACTCTTCCTAGGGGTGTGCGTGGGTCGGTTCGTTTGGGTTTAGATATTTTAATCACCTAAATCATATACCACGATTTTGAAAACACTAAATACAAACTCACCCAAATAATTTAGAATTTTAACGGTTTGTGTCCTCCATACCAAATGACCAATTTACATGTCACTTAACTAAGGACAATCTCATTGTCCAATCCCATCATTCTAATGTCAATCCATAAAAGTAACCCATATTTTCGTGTTTGTTAACACGTGTTTCACATTGTCATTACTGTGACCGGTAACTTCGCTGCAACTGATTCGGTATTGCTCATCATATGGCCTCCAAACTGATAAACATATGGGGGCCAGCAGTTTTATTACAAAACTCAAAGTGAAGACAACTCATCATCTGGTGGAATTTTGGCGCTTGCTGGTGTCCATTAATATAATTGCAAGCAGAATTATTGCTAAAATTAAGCTTTCACGCAACACACTAGGAGTTGGGGGTGTGTACTTGGAGTAAAAGTTGATATTGGGTTTGGAAAGGGATTAAGGGAAGTGGTGGGGGGAAGAAATTGTGTTTGGATTTGGTAGCAGGTCAAGTTCATGGTTCGGTTTCTTTTCGTAAAATGCTTTGATTTATTTTAGTTAGAGGTATAATATCATGGTTATGTGGGATCAAATGAACCAAAAATGAGCTTGGGGAATGGGAATTCCAACTTAGAAGGAGTGGATTAGATTTTGATAAACTCAAGTTCATGATTAACTAACAGAATATTTAGATTTAGACTTTGTGGTATTGATATGTTCATAGAGAGTCTAAAACTGATCCAAGGCCATGGATTGATATTGGTTAGTTGATTGCGATTTTGAGGAAGGTGTATAAAAAGTCATGGAAGTAGTTTGCAGCAAGTGAAGGCAGTGAAGAGGCAGTTGGGCAGGGTAGTGATTTAACCAATGAGGGTATTGAAAGACATAGAAGCATAATCGGAGCAGTTGAAGAGAGAGAAGTGGTAGATGATCAAGATATTAATGAAAATGGAGAGGGTATTGAAAGGGCATGGAAGTGAACTGGATCAGGTGAAGGCAGAGAAGGAGGAGAAGAGCATATTGATGGATTTGAAGATGAGTGTTGGTTTTACGAGCTTATTAAAACTGCCCCGAGGAGGATGAGTTGGCCAAATACAAGAAAGAGGATTGAGGAGTTGGAGATCAAACTGACAAGAAACTCAATTGAAAGAAGAAATTCAGGTTCATGGAGAGAAGGTCCATCAAAGTAGCATAAATGGAGTTGCAGAAGGAGGATTAGAAATTGAATTTTGGTTTAAAACATATACGTCGAGAGATTGAAGATGGAGGGGATAAAAAGTTGTTTGTACAACGGAGAGTGGAAACTATTAGATCTTTAGGTGTTATGGTTGTTGCAACTACCACAACCTATGTTTATGTTAAAACGAGGAATCATTGATTGATTTACTAAAGTTAATGTCGATTCACTATTGAAACTACTGGAACCTGTAGATAAAGAGTGTCTAATTTTGTGCCTCATTACTTTGATCGAGTCTATTAGTATATTGGATGTAATTCTAATTTTGTCATTTGCTTTCAAGTTTTGATGGTTTCCTTTTAGTTGAGTTGTTAGCATATGATCTACTTGAATCAACAACTCTTCATTTCTTTTTTTTTTTATAAATCCATTTCCTTTTTATTAGTGACATGTTATTCCTTGAGGAGAGCTTTGAACCATTTATGTGGGATTGTGAGGTTTCATTTCAGCTTTAAACTATCTATGGATCGTGTGAGGATTCTAATGAGCTTTTATATTATATATTTCTGGACAATCTATTAACCAATATCATTTTAATGGAGTCTCAATTATCATTATGAAAATGGGATTAATGATACATTTTTATATTCTTAAATAAGGAGGGTATTTTCCTGAATATTCAACCTATATATTCATTTTTTATGTAGAATCTCGATTGAATGATTTTCAATAAACTTAAACAAATTAATAGACTTAAACATAACATAAAAATAGAAATATTAAAATATGAACATTCCGGCCAACGGGCCGGATTATAAGCTTGTACTATTGTATTATGTTTACCTTATTGTGCCTGCCTCTTAAAATCCTAACGGATTTGTAGCTGTGAGATCGGAGTTATAATGCAGGCGGTTCATCCGAAGACGCAACCAGACATTTCATATTCTGGAACCATACCATTGCATAATTCTAATCAGTTAACCCATCAAGTACACTGCAGAATGTGCCCATCCATCAAGTGGCTATTTAAAACCATGGAGCATTACCAAATTGTGAGAAAATGGCACATATATTTTAATCACCAACACAAACTGAGCCCTGCTACATAATTAAGTGATTGGTCTGAAGAGCAGATATCATTTCCCATGGCTTAGGATGGTGGATGCAGCGACCAAGCTTGGGGTACAATGTGGGAAGTTCATTTCACCATCCCCTCCGCCCAATGGTTTTCCTACTATTTCAGAAGGAAACAGAAGCCTGAGTACCTTCTCAGCAATGACAATCTGTTCCTGCCGACGTTCATTACTTACCATGAGCTCCCTGTAATAGAGAGTACTATGAATTCAGACAAAGGACAGCTAGATCGTTGAAGCTGAGCATAAGATTCAGCTTGAGAAATTATGCTTACCCAAGTAACCCAGCTAGATTGGTTGGTGTGCATGATTGGAATAGAGATTCAGGGATGACAGGAGCATCCATGAGTATATTAGGCAGTGAGATGTATGGTATCTTCGCCTTGTACCGAATGAACCATTCGGTAAGGATATGGGCTCTATATGCAACTGCACATGGTAGGCGTGCGAGCTGCAACTCCACTGCCACTGTTCCAGAAGTGCACAATGCTACTTTGCTGGCCTGCAGTGGATGAGCAAATCCTTATTACTTGAAGGAAACAAACACTCTATGATTCAGAATTTAGCAGCAAGAGAATGAAAGAAGAGCTCACTCACACTGAATGCATCATATTTGAGAACGGGATCTCCTCCTGGAACCAAAACAACAGGTGCAGGCCACTCGTGAAGGATTCTACCAATGAAATCTTCAACGTCCTGATTAGGTGCCACATGAATGACTGTGAGTAAGTCAAGAAGCGAATGTTTGAGTTTGTTGACAGCCACCCTAAAAATGGGAAGCATCCGAGTAACTTCTTGTAATCGGCTTCCAGGAAGCAAGGAAATGACATCCGCACCTTCACAAATGATAGAAATTTGCATGAAGTAATAATCAGAGGTCCACTCTCAAAACATGCCCTATGCATTCCGCCACGAGAACTCTTACCAGACGATACACCAAATCTGCTCCGAAAATTGTCAGGGTTGCCCTGTATCTTCCATTCACATAGGGAGGACTGCTTTCCCTGAAGGCACAACGTCAATGAAATATAAAAAACTGCAGTACGAGAATATACAATCCAATCTTGGCATCTCCCAACAACTCCAACTTGAGTTGTTGGGACAAATTGGTTTTGGACATCTATTATAATCATTTAAGCACCTTGCATGCTTAGAAAGTGCCTCCCTTCAGTTCGGACAATGATCATGCTATTGAAACTCAATTTTAAGCGCATAATGGGAAATCAGAAGCCAAAATCTGTACCGAGTTCAGCTCCAGTAGATCTTCAAGAACTGGGTGTCCTACAAAAGTTGCTGGCAGTCCATTGTGCTGACAAACTGCTGCTTCATTTGGAAGTATACAGAACACATGATCCACAAATTCAATCAGGCCCTTCAATCTCGCTTCGCCCCCTTTCCAAGCCCAGAATGATGGCGCAACATAATGGAAGTGCACCGGACTTCCTTCCCCGGCATTTCTAGCTGCAAAAAGCATTTCCACACAGCATTTTCCCTACAGTATATAATGCATCTATCACGTAACCATATCATAAATTTCCAGCAGACAAGAGTGTAGGTTGGGCTTAGTAGCATCCATTACCCCTTAGCTGCTTCAGAAACCGAAAAGAGAACCCCTTGGAATCCACAGTAACTACACAGTGAGGCCTAAACTGAACAGCAGCATCAACTGTTTCTTTCAACCTCACCTGAAAAACCAAGAGCCTCTAGTTTAGCGAAAATTACTAGTTCAAACTAAGAAGAATGAGCACCAGAATCTTATTACTAACCCTAAACTTATTCAAATGTGGTAGCAATTCCCACAGCCCCATCACTGAGATGTCTTCCATCGGGAATAGAGGTTCCAAACCCTCTTTGCACATCATGGACCTTATAAATGGAATACACACGACTTTAGAATAAGTATCCAACATTGGAATCCAGAGCCAAAGCTTTGATTTCGGCTTACCCGCCGACGCCGGAGAAACGGATGGGTAAAGGTGAGAGCTTTTTCAGGGAAGCCATGAGGCGAGAACCGATGGCGTCCCCCGAGACTTCTCCGGAGACGATGAAAACATTCAATTTTCCATCTTTGGCGGCAGCATCGAGCACGGAAGAGCTGGAAATAGAGAAACACCTTCCGGGCAGCCATGAAAGACCTGCGACGGCTTTATTTCCCGATGTTTGGAAGCTCCTCAGCAGCATTTCAGGGATATTTAGGTTGCTGAGTCTAAGAAAGAATCAGATAGGAAACAAACCCAAATGGAGGGAGTACCAAATTGCATTGAAGATTTACAGAAAGATTCCGACTTTGGACGAAAGCGGACATGGAAGGCCTGGAGGCTGGAAGCATGTTGAAACTGAACCCTGAAACAGTTTCTAATTGGGAGAGGAGGGAATGAGCGATAGGCTGGGAGGGAGACCGTAACCAGTCTATTTGGGCTGACCCGTAAAGTGGGCTAATGGATGATATGGGCTTGTGGAACGTTGCCCTAGGCCCGTATTGTTATTTTTGCCTTCTCAGTGACGTGCGGTTATAAATTGCCTACGGTCTATATCATTACAACTAGCTTGTTGTCTAACTTGTTCGTCGGAATATGATTGAATACCATATATGTATGATGTGTATTTAAAAAATTTAAATTAATTGAAATACTAAATTTCGTATGACATATAGGTGACATCAAAATTATTTTTCCATTTTCGAAATTCTTATTACTTTTCATCAATGATGAACATTGTAAGCTTAATTGTTATAACCAAAGTTGTCAAACCGATTCAAGTTGTTGAGCCGGTCAAGCAAGTAGTTTGAAGTTTAATGGTTTGATTGAGTTCCAACCTGATTGAGCCGATTTACACCTTTTCTAAATATATTTACATATAAGATAGAAATTTAGTGACTGAAATGGAATGTAATAACTTAAATCTATTAAAAACTCAAATTCCATAAGAAAATATACTTATTTCAAGATCCACCCACCATCCTCTTGCCTCTCTCCCCGTTCCCTCTCTTCTTCTCCATCTCTAACGATCAGACACTTGGTTTTGTATAGCCGGTTTTGGAACACGACTTTGGTCGGACCTAGTCCAACCAGCCGTTCGGTAGAGGCGTAACAACCTTGGTTATAATACTCGTGAATAATCATTCATAACTTGTCAATTTAATGATGTAGTCACCCTGGAAAAAAATTGACATAACAAAAAAAGAGTTTTTCTAAAAAAGCGTAGCATAAATAAGAAACCCGTGATCATAACCTTTATTCAATATTTATTTCCTAGGCTTGAGAAACAATACATACTCCAATAATATATGGTAGAGTTTTGTGTACTTTTCTCCATTTCAAATTTCCTGCAATGAGAGTGAAAGTAGGAAAGACATTTTAGTCTTTACAATTTTTAATTAATTCATATATTCATATATAAAAATCATCAATACCAAGATTCAAACCCGAGTCCCTTTAAACAAAGACAACAAACGTAATCAATTACACTAAACAAATTATTGTAACTTTAATTTTTGAATACAAACTATTGACGAAGTTAAACTCTGAAAACCGGAGGACTTTTCCATCATGATTAGCTAGCCCACTAAGTCTGCTGTAAGTATATTTATAGTGCTTGATACATCGATTTTCATAGTAGAGTTTCATCTAACTTTCTCCATTTTAAAAATATCTACTCTCTTCTTAATTTTTGCTAAGGTAACATGGAAGAAGTTATTTAATTTACTGTGTTGTGTCCTTGCATGTTTTTAATTTAAAATATTTTTGGCACTTTTTTATCTTTGTTCATATCCCTTTCTAAGCTCCTATAAAATTCCCCCCATAGTGCAATAGTTTGCTCCCTTCCACTTCCCACTACAATGTCGCCTATGAAAATCAATCTTCTGGTATCTCTTAGAGCTACAGTTTGATTGTTGGAGATTGAAGTTGGGCAAGTAGGAGATTTCAACTCTCTATGGTTCCATCTTTCCCATATCGATGAACTACTAGAAGAACCATTTTGCTGCTTCTATTGCTGAACGATGTTTGATCAGTTATATCTTCCTCCTTTACTCCTCTTCCTATACCAAACTATGAACTTGAATGGGTTTTTGGTCTTCGTCCAAGGTTAATCGCTTCACATATGTAAGTCATTCTTTTCTTCTCTTAGTCTCATGGTTTTATCTTTCTTAGTAATAACAAAACAACTTTTATTTTCAGGGTGTCTCATGAGCAGAAAATGCAAATTATCTATTTCTTTTGATCATATTGCCTAATACGAGTTTAAAGCCCGATGGATCTCTTGCGTCGTTGCTCCTCTTTCTATTCTTAGGTTTCAACTTCAATGAGTTTTCTATCTTCATAGAAGGTTCATTGAGTTGAACTGGTAGGCTATTATTTCTTTCCAAATTTATCTAAGTTGCTTGTGATTAATTTATAAAATATAGGAAAGGAATTTGAACGGTGGTTTGGGTGCTAGATTTGTGTGTAGAATAGAGGCAATTGTGATTTTCTAGCACCATATCTACTTTCTTGGTTGTTTGTTTGCTTTTTTTTTTTTTTTGCTTAGCTATTGAAATAATAAAATAAGTTTACCATTAAAAAATTCTTTCCAATTACAACATTTATGCTCAGGTTTTATTTTGTCATGCTCATGTTCTCTGCAACCATATTTTTCATCAATGTCGATTATTATGATCCAGCTCACCGATAAATTTTGATATTGTTTTATGATTAGTTAGACACTGTTGATTTTATCGATGCTTTTAGTGTCCATCAATATAATTGCAAGTCATAATGATTGCTAAAATTAAGCCTCCACGCAACAGTACTCTGAGAGGTGGAGGTGTTGAACTTGGAGTAGAAGAGTTGGGATTAGGTTTGGGAAGGGAAGTGGTGGGGGAAGAAATTATGTTTGGATTTGGTAGCAAGTAAAGTTCAACTACATCAAGTAAAGACAGAGAAGAGGGAGTTGAGGGTAGTGATCGAATTGAGGAGGGTATTGAAAGGCATGGAAGAAAACTGGAGTAGTTGAAGAGGGAGAAGCGAGAGATGATTAGGATATTAATGAAAATGGAGAGGGTATTGAAGGGCATGGAAGTGAACTCGAGCAGGTGAAGGCAATCAAGGAGGAGATGAGGCTTGGTTTTAACGAGCTTATTACAAGTGCCCCTAAGGAGGATGAGTTGGTCAAATATAAGAAGAGGAATGAAGAGTTGAAGAGAGTTGACAAGAACCCCAATTTGAAGAGAAATTGAGGGCCACAGAGAGAAACTCCATCAAAGTAGCAAAATAAGAGTTGCATGAGGAGGAACAAAAAGTGAATTATTTTGGGTTGAAACAGATGCCTCTTGAGATTGAAGATGGAGGGAATAAAAAATTGGTTGTACAACGGAGAGTGGTGGCTATTGAACCTTTAGGTTTATCGTTGTTGCATCTACCACAACCTATGTATATCTTAAAATGAGGAATCATTGATTGATTTACTGGAATTAAGGTAGATTCTCTATTCAATCTACTGGAACTGGTAGATACGGAGTGTCTAACTTTGTGCCTTATTACTTTAATCGAGTCTATTAGTAAGTTGGAGCTAACCATAATTATGTCATTTGCTCTCAAGTTTTGATGGTCCCCTTTTAGCCGAGTTGTTACTATTTGGTTGACTTGAACCAATAACTCTCTATTTCTTTTTTATTAGTGACATGTTGTTTCTAAAAGGAGAGCATTGAAATCTTTATGTAGGATTGTAGATTTTAGTTTCCAATTATCTATAGGTCGTGTGGGGATTCCAGTAAGCTTTTATACTCTATCTTTTCTGACAATCAATTAACCAATAGCATTTTAACGGGGGCCTAATTATCATTATGAAATCGGATTAAGGATATATTTTTATATTTTATATTCTTAAATGATGATGGTATTTCTTCAAATGTTCGACCTATACATTCATTTTTTATGTATCATCTCGATCGAAACATTATACAAAAAATTAAATGGATTGATAAAGTTAAACATAACATAAAAATATAAATACTCAAAAAATACGAACATTCCGGCCAACGAGCCGGATTATAAGATAGTATATAATAGTATCTAAACCCTTAAAGTATTCTGCACAATACAATAACAAAATTAGTAAGAAAATAACATTTTCCGTCCATACTCTATGCAATGAAAAAATTATTTATCAACAAACATACTCTAAATTTAGTTGAAGTACAATCTTATTCGCTCAACAAAAAAATTAAACATATCTTGTGGTACCTACCTTGCTAATGCACATGATGACATCAATGCATCCATGAAAACTCCAGCTCAACTTTCATAATTTGTCTTGTATTGCGGTTATTTTATATTAAACTAATTAACTATAAATGATACCTATGGTCAATTATTATATAAGATAAAATATTAAATAATTGAAATCATCTAGAAAAATTAGTATTCAGAAATTGTGTTCTTTTAAAGTCACTCATTTGTCCAATCATGCCATATTATCAAGAGAGTGAGGAATTAACATTAAACCAAACTAAAATTTTTAAAAAGCTGGTCACTTACATTTTGCATAACAATATCATTTTTTTATAGTTCTAAAAATTAATACCAAGTTAAGAATTCTACATCGCATCTACACATTCAATACTGCAATTCAATATGTAATATTCGAATCAATGATATTTGGGTTTCAATTTTAAAATTATCCTCTATTTATAAGATAAACATAAATTAAATTTATTATTAAACTCAAATTCAAATAATTAAAATATGAAAAATTCAAATATCAAATAACAAAGAAAGTACGTACGTGAAAGTTAGTTGGCTAGCTAACAGTAGTGAAAAGTTGTATGATTTTTAGATTTCAGGTGTTCAGATTTTTTACTTAAAAATATACAAATAATTTATTTAGCATAATTGGTAATGATTGTTGTCTTAATTTGGAAAGACCATGGTTTGAATCCCGAGATTGAAGTCATGCTGAAAAACTGCCCCAACTCGACTTTAATATATTTGTAGATTTTAAATTGCTGCCTCAAATGGACACGTCTAGACTTGGCCAGCTATGAATGCCAATTGAGATTCACTCTAATAGATATATATTGATCTGATTCGTAGTTCTTGATATGATTTGTATTGGAGTGAATAAGACCCACTAAAATAGGGTGAATCTTGATACGATCCACAAGGGAGGGGTTACGGTGCTAATTGTACAATAGTTAACACCGTTCTAACCAAGGGAAAAACTACTACTAGTTTGAATTAGTAGTGATTTAGCTTAGATGTTGTATTGATTTTATAATAATTCGTAGTGATTTTTACTAGTTATCACGATGCTAACCCTTATAGGGGTTAGCACCTAATCCCATCCCCGATCCTCAACTAAAATAGAGCAGGCATGGATTACCTTTGTTGCCCCGTCTTGTTCTGTCCTGCTCTGCCCCGAGCAGTTCACACTACACGCACACCAAAAATTCCAACCACCCACATCTTCATCCTTATCCCAACTCTACACCTTGGTCCAGACTAAAAAACAATTCCTACCTTCTTTCCAATTTTGCGTTGCATCAATGAATTAGCTCTCTTGCAGTAGAAGTTGCAACAGAGATAAGGTGAGAGATAGAGAGATAAGGGAAAAGAAGACAATGGCGGAATCATAACGGGGAGAGACATGAAGAGAGATGGGTTTGGGAGGATTTTAATTTTTCCGCACAGAGCAATGCTTGGATAAAAAATGTTCAACCCCTTGCGTCTTGCGAGTCCCAGGGAAGAGCGGATAGTAGGTTTAAATAGTGGGTCGAGGCGCGAGTTTAGTGGTATTCGTCCCAAACTCCACCCTTTGTCATTCCCATGACCAACGGATTATTTATTTCAATTCCTTATTTTTAATTCTCTCACAAAAATGAGAGTTATCAATTCTACCGTTGAAAATAGGGGAGGACACATGAGTGGATAATTTATTGTTTCACATTTGCCCACCCACAAATAACCCAAACCATGAGGATGGTTGATTGATGAGGGTGGACTGTGGATCAATAGATTTTCTATATACACTTATTGGGTGGGTGATGTGTGGGTTGCAGGTCTCCCAAATGACCTGCACCCTATCTTTACATGAAAAATAGTTGTTTCTTATTTATATTAATAAATATTAATTGTATTTCTTAACCGACACTACATAATGACTACCATTTCTAAAGGCCAAAAAGAATATTTTTGGGACTACTGTTCGTCACTATATTGTGTAATGTCCATTAGATATTGAAATGCAAATTATAAAATATTAATTCCACCTAAGTCGCGAAAAATTATTAACTTTCTCTACATAATTGGTTGATGAAGTCATGAAAGATTTTATACAAGTACAAATTAGTCAACTTGCCTAATTACTAGTTGGAGAATTGCATTTGCGAATGAACCCACAACCCAACCGCACCCATCAGTCGAGGATAATTGATCAAAATGGTCACATAGATTTGTGCCACTAACAAAATAGTCACAAATGTTTACAACATAAAAAAAAACTTCATACAAGTATCATATCATAACAAAACAATCATTTTTTCTTTTTGTTCTCGAATGACTCAAATTATGGTCTTCAATGTATCCAAAAGGTCTTGTCTCAATTTAGGAAAATATATGGGCTCAAATCCAACCCTTAAATATGCAAATTGTTTTGTAGAGGGCGCCTTATGGACTGGCAGAAGCAAATGGCTTAAAGAGCTGGATATCAACTGGGCTCCCTTTCGATTAGGTATCTTGACTTGCCTCTTATACATGGAAAACTCACAATATAAGTTTGCAAACCTTTGTTGGATAAAATAACTAACAAAATATATGAATGAAAAACCAAATATTTGAGTTATGCAGGAAAGTTACAGTTAGTAGTATATGTTCTAGCTAGTTTGTCTCAATTTTGGATGGTTGTGTGTGTTCAACCAAAGCAGTTATCAAAGAGAATGATAGGTTATGCAGTGACTTCTTGTGGGAGGTTGGTACTGGAGGCAAAAAAAGAGCAGCAGTGGTCTGACACTACTTAACCTTTCCAAAAAAAACCTTAGAGAAGGTTGAGATTTAGGGATATTGTTAGTTGGAATTTTGCCTATGTGGTTCGACATATATGGTTCATTATTCCCTTTGGTAGCCTGGTTGATGCGACCCCAATCACCACCCTACATGACGTTACTCGAGCTCAAATTAGATCTATATATGGATCATGGGTCAAGAAGATTTAAGATATTTAAAGAGATCTTGGGAGCTTCAAAGGTGGAAGAAAAGGGCTCTACAAGCAAGACCTATGAGTTTGTTCATGTGAAATTGAATGCCAACATATATAGTTCTCGTGGTCCAAAAATGAAGGTCCGAGTAAAACGATACAAGGATCAAATGGGATCACTCTTGATGGACGTGAATTTGCATAGAGGGAAGCCCATCACATTGCTTCAATTCGTGGATCCAAATCATGAGAAAATGGCTTGGAAGGAGAAAAAGATTCGGTCCATAATGAAGGAATTCCCCATGGTGTGAACAGAAGGTGTGAAAGGAATACTAGAGTGAAAGGAATATCAAGTGTGAAGACAAGCCATGTGAGGGAGGATTTTAAGGGTAGAATTAAGGATTGAAAAAGTCAAATTTGTTGAAGAATTTTACAATGCTATATAGCATTGGTGCTATAGGTTTTTGCCTCTATGGTACAACTTGAAATTGTACATTTAACGTTATGGTACAGCTTCATATTGTAGCTATACTTTTTGTACAAATTCTTTTATGGTACAACTTAAACTTGTACCTTATGTGACGGTACAACTTCAAGTTGTAAAGTTGTACCATAACATAATGATACTAATTCCTTTATGGTACAACCTAAACTTATACACTTAATGTTATGGTACAACTTAAAGTTGTACATTAAAGCACCAATGCTATATAGCATAGTAGAAGCGCTCAAATTTGTTTCCTTTTCTTCGTAGGACCTCGTTTACTTATTTCTTAAGGTTTTTATTTTCCTTTTTCAAGTAGGATTTGGTTTTTCTTAGTTGTTTTGTGTTTAGATTTGTGGGTCTATAAATAGGAGTCAAACTAATGTATTTTTCAACCAAGTTTCATTCAATCAATTACAAGTGAGTTTGTGTGAGTTCCTTTGTGAAAGTTTTTGTTTAATCTCTCCTTTGGGGATTTGGGAGAATTGAGTGGTCTCTTATCAACTAGAGAACACATCTAGTTGTGGCTAGCATCGACTATATCGGTTGGCCTTATCCACAAGTTCGAGATTGTTTGGAAGGTTTCATATACCTTCTAGCTATCTTTATTTTCGAGCTATTCAAGAAAGAAGAAAACCCCTAAATAGTTTGACGTTGTGCCATTCTGATTTTGTTCCAAGTTTGGGAGGATTTTCGAATTAGTATCATATCACTGGTTATGGGAGTATAGGTGGAAGAATCAATATTTATGGACAATAACTTCAAAAGTTGGTTCTCGGCTAGCAGAAGCTGCTAAAAAGCAGTGACAAAGTTAAGTAGAAGATGTTTGTTATGAATGGAGAGGTATCTTGGAATGGTAAAGTGATGAAGAAATACAATATTGAGAAAGTCTGGCAAGATTTTAGAGCAAGAGAATCTTCATTTAGCTAGTTTTCTCTAGTCTGGGAGAGACCATCCATTCCCAAGAATCCATTCTTGGTCTGGATGATTATCAAAACCCATATATTTACCTGTGGCAAGATGATGAGTTAGGGAGGTTTCGGCCCCTTCTCTTGTACATTTTGTGATTATCAATTAGAGACCAGATCTCATCTATTTGATGCATGTCATATGCACAAGAACTTACATACATGTCTACTTGCTTCTTTTTATCCCAGAACTCCCTTAGATGGCTGGGAGGAGGAGCTACAATGGGCAACCACTGTGTTTAAAGAAAATAGTAATATTGTGCCGATTGGCGACTTATCTGGCAAGCCTTGATTAATGCAATCTAGAGAGAAAGATGTATGCTAAGACATGATGGAGTAAAGAAAAGCTCCTCAGAGTTACTTGAACAAATAAAGATGGAAGTCAAAATGGTTGTAGGGGTTGATGAAGCTGCTATCTTTTGGCCTTGTCAAAGTTTCACTCTTGGTTTAGTGTACTTACAATTCTGATAGGCTGTATACATAGGGATTAGACAGATTCATAGTACATTATGTGTTACTCACTTGAAAGTGTGTGTTGCCAAAGGTACTGTGTTTTTTTATGATATAAAATCTAACTAATTCATCAAAAGAGTAAACAATTAGCTTGCTGACACAATGTAAAATTGGTAAAAGATTATCAGACACCTAATCAACCTATATAACTACCTCTTATTCAGAGCAAGCTAACTCGACATTTTGGATGAAATTGTGGATGGAAAGATATGAAATTGCTATTTTGTTATATCGTAATATTTTTGTTACTAACCCAAATCTATGTTACCATTTTGAGCAATTATGTGAGAGATACGGAGTCAGAGGCCGAGTGTGCCTGGGGGGGGGGGGGGGGTATTTGGGTCATTTGAGTATTGTTGGTGGAGAGAACTATTTAAACTACAGTCTTTGTTATTTCGATTAAGAAAGAATAATATCAGAATCCCTAAACCCTAATTCTTCATCTCTTCTTCAACTCCCATCCCAATTCCCAATTCTCAACCCTAATTCTTCTATTCTCATCCCTAATTTCTACTCAAGTATATGTGTTTCTCACAATTGGTATCGGAGCCTGGCTCGACATGAGTTCATCAAGGCTCGGGAACGGGGACCAGGCAACGCAGACAGATAGTCGGTTGCGGGAGGTGCTCGCGCGACTCGAGCGCATGGCCGAGGAGATGCGGGCCGCGGTCGGTGCGACGCAGGTGATGGCAGAGGGACGCATCCCTCTGGTTACGACGGCGAGCAGGCAGGAGGAGGAAGAGGCGAGCGATGCGGGTCGGGAAGCCATTCCCGCCGTCGCAGCAACGGTGACGTCGCACAGGCAGGAGAAGGCGGATGCGGGCGACGCGGGATGGGAAACCATCTCCGCCGTCGCAGCTGCGATGACAACCGGGTCTGCGACGATGCGCTTCCGTGTGCAGGTCGTTGAAGAGTGGGCGGTGGCTCTCGTGGACAGCGGGGCCTCCCTCAACTTCGTGGGCGAGGAATTTGTGCGGCGGCTACACCTGCCCAAGTCGCCAATTGATTCCTTTGACGTGAAGGTCTCCAATGGTGCACCGTTGAAGTGTGAATGGAAGCTGGAAGGGGTACCCGTGTGGATGCAAGGGCTACAAATTTTCCTTGATTTATATGGGCTGCCACTGCAGGGGTTCGACGTGATCTTAGGCATGCCATGGCTAAAGAGTTTGGGACCGGTGACTAGTGATTGGGTGAAGAAATTCATGCGGTTCAAGTGGAGGGACAAGGACTGGGACCTGCAGAACATGACCAAGGCAATCAGGCTGATTGGGTGAGGCGATCCGCAGCTGGAGGGCGACAACCACTAGCCCCGGAATTACGGGTGTTGTTAGACCGGTATGCTGAATTATTTGGAAATTCGACCCAGCTAACCCCGAAGCGCTAGGTTGACCATCATATTCGACTGAAGGAGGGAACGAACGCGGTTAACGTCCAACCCTACAGGTATGCTCACAATCAGAAGGCCGAGATCGAGAGACAGGTAGAGGAGATGTTGACCAGAGGATTATTTTGGGCAAGCTCCAGCCCGTTTTCCTCTCCAGTACTGTTGGTGAAGAAGAAGGATGGTACTTG